GAGGTTGGCCCAGGATCGAACATTGTTTCGTTCTGCTGTGCATGGGGTCACTATGAGTCGGTTCCGACTCGATGGCACCTGACAACAACAACAACAACATCAAATTGAAATGAGTCCTGGTGTGGCACTATGGGTTAATGCTCTGGATTGCAAAGTCAGTTTGAACCTCAAGGTTGACAATTCAATCTCACCAGCTGCTCCTCAGAAAACCTATACAGAGTCACTAGGGGTCAGGTCGGTGTTTCAAGCTCCTCACCAGCTATTCCTTGGAAACCCTGTACAGGATTGCTATGAGTCAGAATCGACTCAAAAGCACTGTTATTAACAACAACATCAAAGTGAAAAGACAACCCATAGACTATTTGTAATATCTGTAATAGAGCTGTTCTTTGCAGTATTTGCTATTTGCAGTAGAGCTGTTATTTTATTAAAACCAAATGGGTGAAAAATCCAGCTTTCTATTGATAGTAAACGGATTTTAATTGTTTAAATTTTAAACACCAAGGAAAAGGCTTACATAATCCACTATCAGCTCTGTTTCTTCATCTTCTCCCCTCAGTTTCCTCACAACCTTCTGGATGAAGTCTTCAAACTTGGAGGCCATATAAACATCTTCATTCTGTAACTGAAGCCCACCACATTTCTGTCTGATCTCTTCAACCAACCTTAAAGTGAGAACCAGCGAGGTTAGGGGAATTACATTGGTAACATTTGTCAAGCTGTTCTGAAGTGAGACTTATGGCAGGCCTATTTATATCTCCTGAGATGTTCTCTTTTAATAATCAGAGAATTTTATAAATCAGAGGAAAAGACATTTTTATTTTAATTTATCGTGAAGGGCACTAGAAACTTTTACTTTTTTTTTTTTTTTTTTTTTAATCTTTTTTTTTTTATTTTCAACTTTGTACATGGCTGAAAAGAAATCATGGCAAAAGAATTTTTAATTACTTGTAAAAAAAAAAAAAAATCTTCCTAAGGGTTACATGGAGTCCTGGTGTGGTGCTATGGGCTAATGGGTCAGACTGCAAAGTCTTTTGAACTGCAAGTTCGGTGGTTCAAACTCACCAGCTGCTCTTTGTAAACCCTATACAGTGTTGCTATGGGTCGGAATCGACTCGATGGCACTTAACAACAACAACAAGGGATACATAAGGTCAGTTTCTTTCTACCTAATTATACTCAAGAAATGACCTAATTTTATGAGAATTATGAGGAACTAGAAGTCATGGTGTGGCACTGTGGGTTAATGCACTGGACTGCAAGATCACTTTGAACCACAAGGTTAAGCACTGGACTGTTGACTACAAGGTTGGCAGTTCAAGCCCACCAGTCACTCCTCAAAATCACTATACAGGGTCGTTGTGAGTTGGAATTGACTTGATGGCACTTGACAATAATGAGAAACTTAAGTCTTATTGTAGAATGTTTTCTTTAGATCATATGTAAGAATAAAACAGACATTTGTTTATGTTATGTGGTTAGAGTAAATACACACTAAAATCAGTTAGTTTTGTTGTTTGTTGTTGTTAAGTGCTGTCTAGTCGGTTCCAACTCAGAGCGACCATGTATCAGGTTTCCAAGGAGTGGCTGGTGGGTTTGAACTGACAACCTTGTGGTTCACAGTCCAGCACTGAGCCCACAGTGCCACACCAATTAGTAGGATAATATAATTTGGGGGAGTCCTTTCTAATTCTCAATTTTCACTTTGAATTTGTCCAATTACAACTGCTAGTTAACTTTTTTTTTTTTTTTTTTTAGCTAGTTAATTTATTTATTTGGAAATATTTACTGAGTTCTTAACTATACTGGGCATGTTTCTTTTTCTTTTCATTCAACAGTATTTGCTTCTATTCCCTGTTTTGTTTTGTTTTTCTAACATTTCTTGATCAGCAACAGCACACTAGATAAAGCTTGTCACCATTATTATAAAATCATTTACTCTCTAAAGAGATGAGGTATCTTGGTCCATCAAGATAGATGATAATGGTTAAGTCAGTCACTAAGACAGGAAATGAGTAATTCCTGCAAGACATCTTGCAAGCAAACAAACCACAGCAGTATTAAAACATTAATACTATTACATGGAAATCCTTAGTTGGGTAAATTAGAAGTTTCCAGTAACTTCTGAATCATACTGAGAAAACTGTCATTTGAGGAACCAAAATTCTTGAGTTTTGATTATACTATTTGCTCCTAGGAGTCCTGGTGTGGTGCTGTAGGATAAGCATTGGACTGCTAACAGCAAGATCAGTGGTTCAAACTCACCAGTCACTCCTTGGAAACCTTGTTGTTGTTTGGTGCCATTGAGTTGGTACCGACTCATAACAACCCCAGGCACAACAAAACACTGCCCAGTCCTGCGTCAATATTATAATCATTGCTACACTTGAATCCATTGTTGCTGCCACTGTGCCAATCAATCTCATTGGGGGTCTTCCTCTTTTTCTCTGTTGCTGCACTTTATTTAGCATGGTGATCTTCTTCAGGGACTGGTCCTCTGATAATATATCTGAAGTAGGAAAGATGAAGTTTGGTCATCCTGGCTTCTAAGGCTGTACTTCTTCCGTGGTCTTCTCTACTCAGTGTCCAACTTTTACATGAGGTTATTGAAAATACCTTGGTGTGGGTCAGGGGCACCTTAGTCCTCAGACTGACATCTTTGCTCTTGAACACTTTCAAGAGGTCTTGTGCAGCAGATTTGCCTAATGCAATATGCCGCTTGATTTCTTGACTCCTGCTTCTATGAGTTTTGATGGTTGGTCTGAGCGAAACAAAGTCTTTGACAACTTCAATCTTTTCTCTGTTTATCTTGATGTTATTTATTGGTCCATTGATGAGGATTTTTTGTTTTCTTTACATTGAGGTACAACCCACACCGAAGACAGAAGTCTTTGATCTTCATTAGTAAGTCGGCACCAACTCAACAGCACTTAACAGCTACATTTGTTCTTCAAACAATTGCTTTCAGTTGCTGGAAAAATGCTTCACAAAGGTGGAGGCTTGGTCTGGGTCCTGATACATCATAGGTGCCCATAGGTTTTGTTGTACAAGTTAATGGATGGATATATTGTCATCAGGACCCCTTACTTTGTTTGCAAAATGTTGTAACAGGGATTGGCCCTGGTGTGGTCTTCTCTCCCCTGTCTACAATGTTGAGTTCTCTGCACCCACCACCAAGGGACTTCACAGCCCCTGGTTAGCTCTCTACTGTGTCATTATCCCAGGTGCTCAAAAAAAATGCCTCGGAAAGGTTCTGCACTATTGTGACTATGGTATACCTTTTTTGCTATGTTGTTGTTGTTGTTGTTATGTGCCGTGGAGTTGGTTCCGACTCATAGTGACGCTGTACAGGGTTTCCAAGGCTATAAATCTTTACGGGAGCAGAAAGCCTCATTTTTCTCCCATGGAACAGCTGGTAGTTTCAAACGGCTGACCTTAAGGTTTGCAGCCCGATTCGTAACCACTACGCTACCAGAGTTTTTTGCCGTACCAGTTGCCAATCAAGTTGATTCCAATTCATGGTGATCCCATGTGTGTCAGAGTACACTGTGCCCTATAGGGTTCACATTGGCTGTTTTTTTTTTTTTTTTAAGAAGTAGATTGCCAGACCTTTCTTCTTAGGTATCTCTGTGTGGGTGTGAACCACCAATCTTCTGAAAGCAGGTCCCATCTTCTCTAATCACTTCTGTCTCCTTTTATCTTTGTAAGATAAAAGATGTGGCAGGTCACATCCCTAGGAAACTCCCTTACATTGGATCAGGGTTGCGATGGGAGTAAGAGCATTGCTTTTCTTGTTGTTGCTATGTGCCGTTGAATCCGTTTCAACTCATAGTGACCCTGTATAGGGTTCCTAAGGAGTGGCTGGTGTGGGTTTGAACTGATGACACTGCAGCTAACAGATGCTTACCTTTAATCCTCTTATAGGTTTTCACATCAGATCCCATCACTGGGGGATCATCACACTGTATCATCACATAACTGCCAAGCCATTGAGAATCATGGTTCAGCCATGCTGACGTGCATTTTGTGGGACACAGTTCAGCCTATGACACCATGTGAGGAACTTTCTAAGACTCTAGGCCTTTCCATTGCTGTGAACCTCGGTCCAGAAAGTCTGACTGTCTGAATACAAGGTAATTACCCTTTCATTCTTCAGTAGCCTGCTAACCCTCCTTCTAGCTCTGTCTTATTGGGTAACTTGAGGGGTGGGGAAAGAGAAAATAAGATCTTGGGAAAAGTATAATCAGCATCAGAAATCCTCCTGGGTCAGACTGTAGGGGACATTCTTGATTAACATCATCACCCACTCACTTCAGAAATTCCCTGTTTCAATGTGATGTTTGAGGGAAAATCAGCTAAGACATGGGAGAACACATTTAAAAGAGAGAAAGCAATGAATGACTTTTCCAGGTATACAGGGGATATGGGATGACTCCTGGTCAGCAGTAAAGAGAAAGGAACAAACATGTGTGACCATGGCACCCCTCCCCACCCCCCCCAAAAAGAAAAAAGATGAAGAGAAGAGAAAACTAGCCAAGGACGAGGAATTGATCCTCAAAGAGGAGTTAGTCAAGGGCTGTGAGCCAATGTGGTCCTGGTTTTACCTGGCAACGTCCATTGATCCTCCCCCAGATTTGAAGAAGTCTGTTGAGTCTTCAATAGTAGGGATGTTACTTAAAATTCCAGCCCAGATGGCCTACACAAAAAGCAAAGGTTTAATGAGGGAAATGTCCAATAGAACATAGAGGCACGTGATTCTCCACCAAAGTTGCTTCTTCTTCTTAGATGTACAGCTTGATAACTACATTTCCCAGCCTCCCTTGTGATTAGGTGCAGTCACGTGACTGCTTCTAGCCCATGAGTGTCAGTGGAAGTGATCAGCACACTCCATGCTGGACCCAGGAGAAACTTCCTCCTCCCTGCAATTCTCTGGGGCTCTGTTTCCTTCCTGGAATGGCATATTTTGAAGATAGCAGAGTCTGGGCCCCTGAATGACTCCACTCCCGACTCCCATGCCACAGCTCCACCCCTAATCTGCATGTCAACCAAGAGTTACTTTGGATTATTTGCATGAGTATGAGTGGGGAATAAATTTGTATATACTGTGTTTGAGTTATTTAAATTTGGGGGTTGATTTCCTACAGCAGCTAAAAAAAAAAAAAAGAGAGAGAGAGAGATACAATTCTGACCCCACTACTTTGAGGGCTGATGGTGCCAGTTACAAAGAAGCTTCAGTTTTCCAGGGCTAAAGAAACATCCAGACTTCTCATGTTCACCTTGATGGTCTCCGCCACCTTCATTTCCTCAGCTGTGAGTTCCACCACTGACTTCTCACCCGCTGAGAAGTACTGAGAGGCGGGGATCATTTTTCCATCTTCAAACTGCAGATTTCTCACCATCAGCTACAAAATAGTAACAAAACAAACATGTAAGTTTAGGATTGTTGTTGTTAAGTGCCATTGAGTCAGTACCGACTCATAGCAACCCTATGCACAACAGCATGAAAACATTATGCACAATAGAATGAAAAGGTTAGGATTAGAACAATTTAAAAGTGAGGCTGGTGGGAGAAGAAATTATATGTTAATGTAGGTAGATTGTTGTTGTTGTTAAGTGCCATTGAGTCCGCTCCGACCCATAAGTGACCCTGTATAGGGTTTCCGACCATCTTATTCCAACAGTAAAAAACATAAGTTTAAAGCACTCATCATTATGTGTAAATACAATAATATGGCATTTTAATAATGGCAGCAGAAAGGAGAAAGTTAAGTAAGTCCAGGCGTGCCGGAGGTGTGCCATGGAGTTGGTTCCGACTCATAACGACCCGGCATAGGGTTTCCTAGGCTGTAAATCTTTACAGGAGCAGAAAGTCTCATCTTTCTCCTGCCGAACAACCGGTAGTTTCGAACTGCTGACCTTGAGGTTAACAACCCGATTTGTTGTCAAGTGCCATTGAGTCAGTTCTGACCAATAGCGACCCTGTATAGGGTTTCCGGGAGTGGCTGGTGAGCTTGAACTGCCGAACTTGCAGTTCAAACTGACTTTGTAGTCCAGCGTGTTAACCCACAGCACCACACCAGTCGTGACCACTCCCCATGAAAGATTGGCAGGTGTATGTAGCTGGTTGGGTTAATGACAATGCCATTGTCTGATTCTGTACCACACATGGAGCTTTAATCTCATAAAAATGATGGAGCTGGATGCTGTACTGTTCCCATTTTACTGATGAGAAACTGGAGGCTCAATAAATTAAATCATTGGTTGAAAGAGGCTGTATGCCTGCGGGCAGGAGGCTGGCTTGCAAAATGTGCCCTTTGGACATTTAAATGAATATATAGTTTTTGTTTTGTATGTATACGTCAAATATTTTTGGTTTGTTCATTTGTGAAAAATAAGATGTAAAAGGGAAGGCACAGGGTGGAAGCAGGATAAGAGTTGTTACAGGAAGGGAAGCGTAATCATGGAGATGAAACAAAACGTAGGATTGGTTCAAAGTAAAGTTGATGATCTTGTCTGTTTACCTTCACTCAATTCACAATAAAAATTTAGGGAAAAAACCAACAACAACAACTCCAAAACAACTCTGACATAAGTCAAAGCATTAATCCATCAAGTGCTTGTTTAGCTAACATGATGGTTTTAGCTGCGTAGATGTAGCTCTAGCCATTTATTTCCTATCACAATGAAAAAAGTCTCTCTTAAAAAAAAAATAACAATAAATGAAGTCAATTGTGAATGTCACACAGCTTAGTAAGTGACAGAGCTGGGATTGGAATCAGAACTAGCTGAACTTCAAAGTCTCTGATCTTAATGACTGAGCCATTCTGCAGTCATAAGATCCAAATTCCCTTTGACATTGTCCCCTGGGAAGCTGCCCCAAAGGCCATAGAACACAGACCCAAGGCTCCATGCGTGGGCAGTGTAGATACATCTGAAAGAGGCTACTTGCATGATCTCATCTGACCCTTCCAGACACTAGCAGTGGGAAGGCAGAGAGGCAGAGTTACCTTCTCTCCTCTATAGAGGGTAAATTGAGACTAACAGAAGAGAAGCATCCTTCCCAAGACCATGGTCAGTAGATACCCAGGATACTTTGCCATCAAGTTGATTATGACTCATAGAGGCCGTGTATGATGGAGTATACTGCTCCTTAGGGATTCCAAGAATTTCAATCTTAGAGGAGCAGACAGCCTCATCTTTCTCCCAGTGATGGATCTGAACTGCCAATCATGTGGTTAGCAGTCCAACACCTAACCTACAACACCACCAGGATTCCTTCCAGCAGGTGATAAGGGGTTCAAGCTTATCTCCTGGCTGAATCCTAAACTCTTTCTTCTGTATTACAAAGGTGACTGTGTCTGTCCTCGGGCCAATGCTAAGGAGCTAGAGCTCTCCTTCCTCCAGGCACACAGAATCAGCTCATCCCAGAGGGAAAAGGCACCCAGAGAGCTTGATCTTTCTCACACTCACAGCAAAGCCTGATTCCCTCAATAGACAGAAACCAAAAAAAGTAACTTATAGGTGATCGTATTGAGCACTCACTGCTTTTCCATCGTTACCAAAAAGAACAAGTCCATTTTTGGTAACAAGACCAGGCTTCTTGGCACCTTTCATTTCCAGTGGTTCTCCAGGTGGCACAGAGCTATTCAGTAAGGATGAGCCGTAGAAAGTGACCATCTGAAAAAGAGATCAAACCTCGAGGTTGAAATCAGGAAGTGAAGGCAAATGCTCTTCCCTGCAAAAAATAGCATAGCTGGATAGGATTTTCATTTAGAATGAAACCAGGACAGCACAAAGTGTGCGAAACTGTCTTGGCATCTGTAGAAATGACACAAAACAAGAGAGAATCTGTGAATGTGTGATGGACAATTTTGGAAAATGTCCCACATCTAGGGACATGCGTATATTTATACATTTACCCACATTGATAGAGATGTGACTGAGATCGAAAGCCCTCACAGACTTTACCTAAAGGTAAGGGTTGGAGTTGGAGGGAGTGGAGGTGTTGAGGAGTGCTGGGGATGAGGGCAGCTGCACATCACTACATGGGATAAGACATGGGGAAGAGTAAGGTGCTCTGTGGGTCAGCACTGGACCCGGACTGTAACCAAGAAAGCTTCACCTTGGTAGCATCTGTTGTTAAACTGCTATGACTTTACTATCATGTAGTTAGCACTATGACAACTAAGCCAAGTCATGGGATTTTCAGTCACCTCAGATGCATGTGAAAGTTGGACAATGAATAAGGAAGACTAGAAAACTCGATGCATTGGAATTATGGTGTTGACGAAGAATATTAAAAGTATCGTGGACTGCCAGAAGAACAAACATCTCTGTCTTAGAAGAGATGGAGCTAGAATGCTCCTTAGAAGCGAGGCTGGTGAGACTTCGTCTCTTGTACTTTGGACATATTGTCAGGAAGGACCAGTCCCTGCAGAAAGATACCATGGTTGGTAAAGTGGAGGGTCAGAGAAAAAGAGGAAGGCCATCAAGGAGCTCTCCTTCCTCCAGGCACGCTGTGGATTGGCACAGTGGCAGCAGCAATGGGCCCAAACATAACAATTGTGATGATGGTGCAGGATGGGGCAGTGATTTGTTCTGTTGTGCACAGGGCTGCTATGCATTGGAGCCAACTTGGCACCTAACCACTAACATCTACTGAATACTTACTCTGTGGCCCAGGACTAAGTAGTTAAATGAGTGAACACGTAGTAACTCTTTTAAGTTTCACAATATCCCTTAGTCTAAAAAGAAGTCACAGTCATTGGTCCCATTTTAAAATGAAGAAAGCAAGGATGCTACATCTAAGGGTCCTGCCCAAGGTTGTACTGATGATGATAGTGGCAGAGCCAGAATTTCAACAGAAGGATTTTGCCTTCTGAGCCTACCTCCTAACCACTCTGCTAAACTTCCTGTGTTGGTTCTTCCTGAATCCCATCTCATTTTAGATGCACTAAGAATCAGGTTTCGGCCATATTGTCAGGAGGGACCAGTCGCTGGAGAAGGATATCATGTTTAGTAAGGTGGAGGGTCAGAGAAAAAGAGGAAGACACCCAACAAGATGGATTGGACAAGTGGCAGCGTCGATGGACTCAAGCGTGTCAACAGTAGTGAGATTGGCCCAGGAGTAGGCAGTGTTTCGTTTTGCTGTGCGTAAGGTCGCTGTGGGTCGGTACTGACTCGATGGCACCTCACAACAACAAGAATCAGGTTTGAGCCATGAGGTTACCAAGACAATAACATGAAGCCTTTGTCCTAAAGGCTTCAGTCTAGTGGGGGTGAGTGGAGGGCACATAGACCCTTACAGTATATTCTATCGGTTATGTTAGGGGTAGTGGTTGTTAAGCACTGTCAAGTCGGTTCTGACTCATAGTGACCCCGTATAGGGTTTTCAAAGAGTTTGAACCACCAACCTTGTCCTCTACTAATCCTATGGTGACATACTAGGACTCCTGTATTAGGGGTAAGGCAGGGCATTATTCTGGAACAGAGAAGTCAAGAAACTTTCTAGAAAAGGTAAAAGAACTTGGAGCTGAGCACACACTGTCCCCAGAGCAGAAGGCTGTTCACAGTCCAGCTCTTGCCCACCTCTCCTTCTCCATCGGCCCTCCTACAGCCTCAGTCCAGAGGGCCTGGCTTCACTGAACCCTTTCACCAGTCCTTCACTGGGCTGTCCACTCTTGGGCCCTCTGACGTACCTCATCTACACCTCTCTGCCTCACTCTCCACCTGGCTCAGGCTTCTCAGAGAGCAAGCACAGCAGTCAGCTCTTCTAGAAGCCTCCCCTAGCCAACCTTCATCTAAGTCTCAGTCACAGCATCAATCTTCCTGCATTTTGAATGCTTATTCTTGTTTCTGGAGTCCTGGTGTGGCATTGTGGGTTAATGTGCTGGGTTGCAAGGTCAGTTTTGAACCACAAGGTTGGCGGTTCAAACTCACCAGCTGACTCGATGATACTTAACAACAAAGTCTTGTCTCTGACCTTCTCTAGAAAACGAGGTTCATTGAGAAGTAGAGTGTAGGATGCTTTCTCTTCATCTTGCTGTCATAGGTCTTGTCCCAAAACCAACCCTACTCATAGTGACCCTGTATAGTGTTTCTGAGTCTGTAAGTCTTTATGGGAGCAGAAAGCCTCTTCATTCTTACACAGAGAAGCTGGTGTGTTTGAACTGCAGACTTTGCAGTTAGCATTCCAGTGCTTATCCTAAAGAGCCACATGGACCTGGAATCACAGACCCTCATTTCCACCAAAAAAGATTCAGGGGAAGCTTTGACTTAATTACATTTATTGCGGGGGAAAATGGTCCCTAAAACCTACCTGTCCATTTATCTCTGTCCAAGCTCCAGGGACTTTATCATGGCCTCGGATCCAGTTGTGTAAAGCTTCAGCTGACTGATCCCAAGAAATCTAGGAAGACACAGAGCATGGGCTGAACCTCCTAATATTGTGAGTCTCAAAAGCAATAGAAGGCTGCTCCATCCGTGGCAGCAGTAGGTAGTAGAGGCTGGCTTGGAGATGGGCCTTCTGGAGCAGAAATGATAACATCGGAAATGACTTAAAACTAGAAGGTTATGGAATTTGAGATGTGGGATCAGTTGGTAGAAATACCTCAGCATTTTCCTTTTTCTGGATGCCTTCATATGTTGCCCCATCTTCTGACTGGGGAATGCGAGGCGCTTTTCCATCAGCTATGAGTTGGACAGCTTCTACCTAAAGCCAAAAATGTCACCTGTGTTACAGCCGAATGATCAACAATGACATCATCTCTTTGACTGAAGTTTCTGTTGGACAGAACGGTAACATATGAATCTGTTCAGAGAGTCAGATTGGGATAATACCAAACATTTCTCCAGGTCCCTCTAAGTGCCAGGCAGTGTGGTAGATACTTTATCTATAAAATAGCTCTGGCAAATGTCACACCAATACTGCTAGGTGGATATTATTATTCCTGCATTACAGATGAGGAAAACTGAGGCCTAGAAATGGTAAGCAGCTAGCTCAGATCACAGAGAGAGCTTGTAAGTGTCAGAAGCAGGATTTGAACCCAGGCCTGTCTAGCTTCAATATCAAACCTGTACTTTTAAAAAACGACTCTTGTTTAAACAAACTTTATTCTCCTTCTGGTGATCCAGTGGAAATTCAAGAATACAGATGCAAAATAAATCACTATAGGTTATTTTTGTTCATTATGATGATTCTGGAAAATGATATATTATTATGTTTCATTAATTCAACTTGCATTTTTTTTTTAATTGTGAACTGCATAACATTGACTTTACACCATTGTTTCATTGCAATGATTACAATCTCCTTCAAGCATCATCATTCAACAGTTTTGATTTGCTTCCATTCCCTCTGTGTTTTGTTGTTTGTTTGTTTTTGGTTTTTTTTTGGTTGGTGGGGGGAATGTACACAAAAACACTCAGGCATATATAATTGTTGCAGACCGTGTAAGACTAGTCAGAGGTTCGAGGCCCTCTAGGGCTGAGTGTAACAAATGAGGCCACTGGCAGTTAATGGAAAATTGCTTTCATCTTAATATTCAGGTATATATATTAAATTAATACACTGGAGCCTTTGAAAATCCACAGATAAATGTGATATTTTCCTAAAGCCGAGACTAAAGGTTGCAAGGTTAAACCTTTCTCCAAAGGATTAACTAAAAATATCTTAGCTACTTCTCGGTTCTTTGTGGTTCTTTGTTCTATAGACAAAGAACCCATCCTCCCTAATCCCTTTTCCAGGTGCAGCCCATTCACCTGGGCATCTCCTGCAGAACTCTCACCTTCCCCCAACTGACCTCAGGGGCTATAGATATGTTAATTGGGCCTGAGAATCCAAGTTGCTGGCCTGGGATTCGAACCAGTGAAGTACAATGTAAAGTTACCTGAATGTCTGGAAAATTACTGATGTTAGCTGTATCCTGTTTTAGTCCCTCCCAGCTTGGTGTGAAACTCCTCCCCTAAATAAAACAGAGGCCCGGGCCTCCCCAGGTGTGCATTACTGGTTGGAAGGCATGGAGTAAAGATTGCGGTGCATTACGGGTTGGAAGGCATGCATTAAAGATTGCAGGGCAGTGAGTCGCTGCCTGCAGAGGCCATGATGCCTGTAGTCCCAAGCCTGCCCACCAGTGATGTATCCACCCTGGCTTTGGGGTGCCTCATTGTCTCCCTTCTTCTGTTTGTCTGTGTATTCTTTCGCTATCCCTATTGCCGCTGGATCTCCCCTCCTCGTGAACCAAAAACTCGTGACAACTATGTCGAGGGAAAACCCCGGCATATAATATTTTAAACAACCAAGGGCACATTCTGCAAGTCTGCCTCCTGGCCGCTAGCTCTCAGTTTTTCTCTTTCCATGAATCTAGAGTCCTCAGCTACTCTCTCTCTCCATGTCCCCATCTCTGCCTCCATCTCTGGTGTCACTGCTTCTCTGGAAGCACATTCTGTTTGTGCTCTTCTCTCTTGATGGTCTTAGGGTCCTCTGTTCCTGGATTGGAAGCTTAACTACTCCCCCCCTTTTGTTACAAAACTTGTACCTTTACAATTGTGACAATTGCAATTAGTCATGATAATTACTCACTATTGCATCATAAGAATCTTATTGTCCTTCATTCTCTCCATGCCATGTGGATATTGGCCTTGAGTTGAGTGTATCTCCCCTTCACTGGGGGGCCGAGGGGAGCTCAATTCACACTTCCTCTCTCTGACTCCCATCTGCTTAACAGATGGGAACTATCTGGGTACAGAGTCAAGTTGACTGGTCCTTCTTCCCTCTCAAGTGATAATGCCTTTAGGTGTAGGGTCTGGATTTGAGCAAATGCTACTGAGCATACATCATATTATTTTAACTGTGATCAACCTACCACCTGCTCTGCTCTACACAAATGACGCCTTTTGATTTTCACAACAACCACACAAATCCGGCAACACTATCCATATTATATATGAGGAACCCAAAGTTAAGAGATTAAGTGACTGATCTACTGTTACATGACAAACAAGTGGTGAAATGAGGATTTCACCTCAGGTCCTTCTGACACCAAACTCCTATGCTTTTAAGCAATCCCATGATGCGGACAGAGCAATGCCCTCCCCTCACCAAAATCAACGTCTCTGCTTTAGGCCATCTTTCTGTGTACCTCTGTCTTGCCACGACCATTTAAACCAGATTCTAGAAGACATTAAATGATGGAAAAACGATCTAATGCACTTTTCAGTATTTTTACAGGCTAATATTTTTACTTTGTAGTGTATTTGCTTTGGGCTTTTTAACTAGGGCACATTGGAATAAAAATTAATTAACATCATATTTCAAATACTGTTTAATAGAAATTGGAATTACACAGCTCTAGCAAACTTTCTTAAGATTATATATACTTCTTTGCAGTCAGTCATTGCAAATAGTTTTGGACATTCAAGTATTCGGGAATGAAGCTGTTTAATTGCGATTCCATTTGATCACTGTGGCGCTGTAGAATAATGCCAGGTCAGTTTGAGCTGCAAGGTCGGTGGTTCAAACCCACCAACCGCTCCTTGGGAACCCTATACAGGATCGCTATGAATTGGAATGGACTTAGCGATACTTAGCAACAGCAACAACAACAAAAACTCAGAGGAACTACAAGTTAGCTTCCCAGAGTAAGACATTTGCTAAAGTTCAGATTTCTACTCTATAAAGACACCAGCCTATTGGTAAATATAAAACCTAATTTTTTTTTTCAGCCTTATATTTTTATCAATACAGTCCACACGGGTACCTTCTTAATCAAAGAAAAGTATTTACAAAACTTCAAAGGTTCACTCAGTTCTTGGTGGCATAAACATACTGACCATGGCCTTGATTCCTTCAGGAAAAAGAAAGCGATTATAAAGAGCATCCACTGTCTCATTGGGTTCGACATCACACGACCTCTGAAGAAGGATGGGTCCCGTGTCTAAACCGTCATCAGCCCAGAAAACAGAAAACCCTGCTTTCTTATCTCCCATAATTAGAGTCCTGAGAAAAGAGAACACTTGACTTAAAATGCTGGTGAGCTGAGAGATGAGTTGGTGATATTAACATACATGGGAGTTACAATGGAAAAGGAGATCCTGAACCAAGGAGCTACCAGGAGCACTTCGCAGCAGGGCTGGGAGATAAGGAAGATGAGCTAGAGAACTCATAAAAAGCAATACCTAATGTTACTTCTGTTTATACATCCTCATAATAGCAGCCTTCTGAGTTAGCACATAGACTTACGGTGGAGTCCTGGTGTGGTGCTGTAGTATAAGCACTAGACTGCTAACTGCAAGGTTATAGGTTCAAACCCACCAGCCACTCCTTGGAAACCCTATACAGGCTCACTGTGAGTCAGAACCGACTCAAAGGCACTTAACAACCATAACAAGAAGACTTACAGTAAACTCAAAAAGGCACTAGAGTTCATCACGACTGTCTGCCACTCCTTGACTCATAGACACCAGCCCTCTACTGCAGAATCAAGTAATTTTGCCCATGTGGGTCCAATATTGTGCTTCAATCTGTAGAGACATAACTAGATTATGGAAGATAAAATACAGTAGAGGATGCTTGATACAATGGGAAGGAGTTGATGATTAATTAATTGTCCTTGTTAGATGCCATCAAGTCAGTATGGACTCATAGTGACCCTACACGCAAAAGAACAAAACACTGCCTGGTCCTGTGCTGTCCTCACAATTGTTGTTACACTTGAGCCCATTGCTGCTGCCACTGTGCCAGTCCATCTTGTTAGGAGTCTTCCTCTTTTTTGCTGACCCTCCACTTTACCAAGCATGATGGCCTTTTTCAGGGACTGGTGTAATCCAGGTATAAGCTTAATTGAGGATTTGAATTAGCTCTAGATTATCTAGTGAAAGACAGACAGCCAATTAATCAGCTATTTCCTTGTCATCTTTATAAAGCTTTAGCCTACAAGAACGTGCTGGTCATCCAGGAGCTTATAACACAATGAGCTGTACTTATGTATAAAGACAGACACATAAAAATGCACCAGAGAGACTATGACGTGGGACATCAACCACACCCAAATCTAAATGATTTTTATTGCATTGAGTCACTTATCAGGTAAGAAGACATGAATGGATGAACAAAGGGACGAAGTCTTCAGAAAGAACAAGGACCGAATTGGCATTGTGTGATCAAGAGCTGTGAAACTACTGATACACTTAGATCCAATGATTCCACACGTCGGAACCACAGGAAATAGGAAACAACTAAGTGCACAGATATCCATGCCAGTATTATTCATGAGAACAAAAAGGAAATCGATTCATGTAATAAAACTTTAAATCACGTTTCAACCAAGTGTGGACTTCCTGCCTATTCAATAACTGGACCCTGAAAAAGATGTAAAGGTCATGACGCTGTGGAAAGACTACCTCAACCCACAGCAATGTCCAGGAAATCTATTGTGTACCTATAGTGTTGGGTAACTTTAGTCTATCTAAGGAGCCCTGGTAGCATAGTGGGTTATGAATTGGGTTACTAACCGCAAGGTCAGCAGTTCAAATCCAACAGCCACTACACGGGAGTAAGATGAGGCTTTCTGCTCCTATAAAGATTTTAGCCTCAGAAACTCTATACAGGGTGGCTGTGAGTCAGAACTGACTCCCTGACACATCACCACCACCACCACTATAGTATATTAGGCACTGTTTTACGCTTCCTCTAGGAGATTAAAGTCAAATAGGGGAGAACCAACGATGAAGAAGATAATTTCAGGTAACTCAGCATTTCTCAAACTGAAGTGTACTTGAGATGTTCTGGACAAAAAGAGATCTATTGGAAACTATTCGGACCACTTCTTGTAGAATCATTATGTTCACATTAAGGCACACGTCAAAGGCGCTGAGAAGCCCTTTAATAAAGAAGTCCAGCCTAGACCAAATGGAACTTGTGCTCTGTGGACTATTCTTGGGAAATGCCATTTAGGCTCAAGAAGGATTTCTGGATTTCAAGAGAATTCATGCTATAGTAACAATTGTTGTTAAATGCCATCATAGTGACTGTTTCTGAGGAGCAGCTGGTGGGTTTGAACTGCCAACCTTGTGGGTTGCAGCCCAGTGCTGATCCTATGGTGCCACACCAGGAGTCCATAGTAACAATTGTTGTTGTTAAGTGCCGTCGAGTCGGTTCCGACACATAGCGATTCAGTAAAGGGTTTCCAAGGAGTGACTGGTGAATTTGAACTGCCGTCCTTGTAGTGCAAACTGAACTTGAGGTCTAATGCTTATCCTATGGCGCCACACCAGGTCTCACGAATGTTCAAGCATATCTATTCACTTGGCCACTTAGGTAAAAACAGAAAAGTTACAAGCCATGAAAATAGACCCATATTTCCTATCATTGCAAAATCTCACCAGTTGATAGCAGAGGCCCCTCTGTGCCTGGGCAGGATGGATGGGTGGTATATGATGGAGCCGTACTTTGGGCAGTCAATGACATCCATGGGGATGAACTGGGAACAGAAGGGAAGCACGTTGAGCTCGGCTCCAACAGATCTGTAGGCCTCTGCCACTTCCTTTATGGTCTTGCCCTTGACTCTCCATCTGGGGAACTTGAACACAGGGGTCCCATCTTTTTCTGCAACCAAGGCTGAGCATGGAAGAGAAATTTATTTTCATTAAAAGAAAAATAGCCATCATCTTTCATTGCCGTGAATGCATACTGGAGTTCCTGAGTGGTGCAAATAGTTCATTTCCTTGGCTGTTAGCCAAAAGGTTGGTGGTTTGAGTCTACCCAGAGGAACCTCAGGAAAAATGCTTGGTGATTTATTCTGAAAACTCGGTCACTGAAAACTCTACACAGCACAGTTCTGCTCTGACACGCATGGAGTTATCATGAGTCAGATAAAGCTCAAAAGCAACCATTTTTTTACAGATTCACATGGTGAAGAATGATTTCGATTTTGAACAAAATTTGACACTACAATTTTGTCAGGATCCATCCAGTTTTCTAGTTATATTGATCTACATATTTCAAGCATGTTGTTAAATGTGATGGAGTTGATTCTGACTCACAGTGATACATTCAATATTTTTTGCCAATGCTATAATTTAAACCCTGTCTAGGGTTTCCGAGGAGCAATTGATGGCTTTGAACCACCAGCCGTGCAATTAGCAGTCCATTGCTTATCCTACAGCACCACCCCAGGACTCCATTTTAAAATATAACATATTTGAATTTAAAGATTTTGGCTTTGTAATATTTTGAGATTTAATCTGAAGATTTTTCTACTTTTCTAGATTAAAAAATGGTACCTTTGTTGTTAATCCTGACATTTAAGGAACAAAGCTTTTGATTTGCTGCCAAATACCAATACTTCATCCCTAAAGAAGAGAGAGCCTCGGACACAGTTGGAAAATCTCAAGCATCTTGTCCCCCAATTCTCAGGGTTTGATGTTGTTGGTAGTGTTAGGCTGATGAGTCAGTTCTGATTCATAGAGTCTCTATGTATAACTGAATGAAACATTGCAAAATCCTCATAATTATTATTACTATGTTTGAGTCCATTGTTGCTGCCATTGCATCAGTTCATCTCATTGGGGGGTCTTCCTCTTTTTTGCTGACCCTCCACTTTACCTTCCTAAGGGACTGGTCCCTCCTGACAACTTGTCCAAAACAGAAGAGATGAAGTCTCACCATAGTTGCTCCTAAGGAGCAGTCTAGACAGATTTGTGTGTTCTAGCAGTCCATGGTACTTTCCATATTCTTTGCCAATGCTATAATTCAAATACGTTAATTCTTCTATGGTCTTCCTTATTCATTGCCCAAAGTTTGCATGCATGTGAAGCGACTGAAAATGCTACAGCTTGCATCAGGCTGCACTTCAGTCCTCAAATTGACATCTTTGCTCTTGAACACTTTAAAAAGGTTTCGTGCAGCATATTTGCCTAATGCAACACATCAGTTGGTTTCTTGATGGTGGCTCCATGAGCGGTAATTATGGAAGCAAGCCAAATGGAGTCTTTCCTCCATTGATCATGATGTTATTTACTTTCAAGGATAGGTCCCTTTTATCACAAGGTAAATTAGAGACCAGGACACATTTTTCTGGCCAAACAGGCAGATTGTGGAAAAGGAACGGAAGAAGTTGTTAAACTTACCTGCAGTGGTCTGGTTCCGTCTCACAAATTCACCATTAAGACAAGCCAGTGGGAAGTAGGTGCTCCCTGCAAGGCATTGTCAGACTGAGGATCTTTCCTGAGGAAATCATCTCCTCCTCAAGGAAAGACTTCATCTCACCTTCACGTGAAAATGAGATGGCATTCCAAAGTACAGACAGCATAAGCGCATTTTTGCCATGATAAAATGTCACTTTTACTGACTACACACCTTGTTGCTGTTAAGTGCTTTCGAGATGATTCTCAGAGTGACCCCATGTGCAATAGAACAAGACACGACCTGGTCCTGCACCATCCTCACAATCTTTGTCCATTGTTGTAACCACTGTGTCAGTCAATCCATCTCATTGAGGGTTGTTGTTGTTGTTAGGTGCCATTGAGTTGGTACCGACTCACAGTGACCCTATGCACAACAGAATTAAATGCTCCCCAATCCTGGTCCAACCTCACAATTGTTCCTACGCTTGAGTCCATTGATGCTGCCACTTGGCCAATCCATCTCACTTGGCATCTTCCTCTTTTTCTTTGACCCCTCCATCTTATCAAACATGATAGCCTTCTCCAGCAACCGGTCCCTCCTGACAGTATGTCCAAAGTATGAGAGACGAAGTTTGGCCATCCTGGCCTCCAAGGAGCACTCTGGCTGCACTTCTTCCAACACAGATTTGTTGGTTCTTTTGGCAGCCCATGGCACTTTCAATATTCTCCTCCAACACCATAACTCAAAAGCATCAATTCTTCTACGGTCTTCCTTATTCACTGTCCAGCTTTCGCATGCATATCAGGTTATTGAAAACACCATGGCTTGGGTCAGGCGCACCTTAAGCTGACATCTTTGCTCTTCAACACTTTAAAAAGGGCTTGTGCAGCAGATTTGCCTAATGCAATACGACATTTGATTTCATGACTGCTGCTTCTATGAGTGTTGGTGGTTGATCAGGTTCACCATGGGTGACCCTGCTGATATTTAAAATACCTGTGGCATAGTTTCCAGAATCATAGCAACTCACAAGCCACTACAGTACAACAAACTGACAGACGAGTGGTGGATGAACAATGAGATGTTATTATGAACCTTATAGGTCTGTCTGTCTTTTGGCTAAATGTTGTGAACCACAGGAGTGAGTTCAGGCTTGAAGGCTATCTAAGCCATAATCTCAGGGGTTCCACCAATGTCAAACAGACGAGGAACATTGGTTTGAAATTATTTTATTATTTGGTTCCACATTTCTCTCCCACTCTATCCTGGGCCTCCTATTGTGATCCCTTTCAGAGTTGTCAGTAGTGGGAGCCGGGCATCATCTACTTCTTCTGATCTCAGATTCTTGGAGGCTGGGGTTCACATAGTCCATTAGTCTTTTGGACTCACAGAGTCTTTGATTTTCTTTATTCTTCTTTGCTTCAGACAGGGAGAGCCCAAGAGTTGCACCTTAGATGGTCACTCATAGCCTCTAAGACTCCAGGTGCTACTCACCAAAGTAGGCTGTAGACTTTGTCTTTGTGGATTGTGTTATGCCAATTGACCTTGGTGTCCCCTGAGACCATGGTCCTAAACTCCCATATTAATTTAAAAATATATTTAAAATATATATAACAAATACATATTATATTAAAATAAATACATATCTATTTGTTTTTAATCAATAACACAAAACAATTTCACCTTGGGTAATTTCCAGAAGCCTTAACTAAGGCTTTTTAATCTGCATTTGTGTTGCCTTCGCCTTTCTCCCCATTTGATCACCAGCATTCATCATGGGATAATGGTTCCATCGAAAAGTCTAAATTCTAAAGCCTAAGTAAGTCCTGAAGGACTCTGGCAATCAAAACAATTCCTTCATCAATCCATTTAGAAGAATTTGAGAATTTGTGAGCGATAATGATCATAAAATACTAAAAACAAAACAAAAAAACGAACTGTAAACAAACTCAAAAGAGTTGACCTTGATAACGCAAATGGAGTAAAGCTCATGGGAGAAAAGCCCATGGGACCTTCATTGGCTGATGGGGATCAACTCAAAATGAGAAGAAACAGCTGTAAAGATCCATTGAAAATTGGAACATGGAATGTACGAAGTATGAATCTGGGAAAGTTGGAAATTGTCAAAAATGAAATGGAACTCATAAACATCGATATCTTCGGCATTAGTAAGCTGAAATGGACTGATATTAGCCATTTTGAATCTGACAACCTCATGGTTTACTATGCTGGGAATGA